TTTGAGGGTGCCACATTCACAAGCAAAGTGGGCTGTCTCAGATGCGTCCTCTRCATCACCCCATAACGCTGACGTAGCCCAGTCGCAGCAGTGTGTACATGAGAGGCTAAATAATGCATGTGAACAGTCTCTTGAGCATTTATTTTAGTCCTTTCATGTGTCCTTCAGGCATTTCTCACTCCATCCTRATATCAACTTGAAAACTTCCTAATACAGGAAGTAAAAGCCGCCGACAAGGAAAAATTTCAAAACCATTGCTCTTGTTATCATCTGATGAATATCTGTGGAGAATTCACCGAAATTCATCATGGCAATCTTCATGAAAAGTCATACATATTACAAGTAATTCTTAATTTTGAGGTCAAACTTAATCAAAGAGATGTAATTATCATTCTGTAACATTTCAGATGAGAAGATACATTTGACCAAACTATATCACTGACAAATAAAGGCCACTTTTCTATTAATTAAAGGCAGCTGATGATCAGTGTATGACAAAATAAAAAATTCAGATGTATTCTCATGAATAACGCAGTTATGTTTAYAACTTGCCTTATTTTAATGTGAATTCAGAACTCTCCATGTATAAGTGCAAGGACTGTCAAATATAATTCACAAGAACAGGCTGCTCTTCAAAATAAAAATCTAGACAGTGTACTGGGAGAATGCCCCACATATATTGCCTAACTTTAAATGAATTTGTGGCTTTGGTGATGATCTGAAAAAGCCACTCTACTCTCTTTTYGTTTAGCACATCCTGTCATTACTGGAGCAGCAGAGATAGAGTGGAACAAAGGCAGAGTACAGCCTGAGAAGAGCAGCTCAAGAAAGGCTATGATTAATGAACAAATAAACATAAACATGGTCACCTGCAGTCATGAGCTTTTTAGGGCAGCAAAAACCTGTAATACTGTTGTTAAAACAGCCCTGCCTCAAGTAGACAAGCATAGTACCTTAGCTCATCTTAAGCTGAAGAAAATCATCAAAAGGGAAGTAGGCAAAAACCTGATTTTCACCATGCTTGTGGCTCTGAAGATACCTCAGGCAGGAAAAGCTAAATAAAGCTGCCCTGAATTCAGAATTTGCTCATCAAAATAGAAAAAATCATCCTCATCAAATCATCCTCATCCTCATCAAAATAGAAAAAAAATCTTACTACATTACACAGTAATAGTGACTTGAGGCCTCTTCAGCTTCAGCCAGGTGAGAACAGGAGAGACGGTGGGTCACTTTCCAGCCCCTCCTTCAAAAGGATTAGGCAGCAGGCCTCATTCTACCAAAAAGCAGAAGGAATGAGTGTGGCATTCTTTGACTGGATAGGAGGTCCAACAGACAGTAAGGGGAACAATTATGCAGAAGCATTTCAAAAGGACAACAAAAGACAATTTTTCTGGCACCTCCCTGAGAACCTAATAAATAAAAGAGAAAAGGCTGAATGTCTCAGCTTCTATTTACTTGTGCGAACAAATCAGGCACCAGTAATGGTAGGAGACTCACCCTGTAAGTTAAGCTMTGCTCTGTTCTTTTTGTAGCCTGTCCAAAACAATCCAGGACTGCAGCCTTACTCTAAACACCAGCAGCTCCCCACTGAGCAAGAGAGATGCTTTAGGAGTGCAGAATCAGCAAAAGGGCTCCCCTGCCATTTCCCTCCATGTCCCCTCTCTCTGCTAATAGTATCACAGGACAAGTGCCTCTAGAGAAATGCAGACATTGACAGGATCAGAATGTTTACATTTAACTCTGTAACAGACCCACAGAGCTACCCTAGCTTGGCATAATGTGACTTTTTTTACACATGAAGGCAGTAGCAATCACCCTAACTTATGTTTTGTGTAAATCCCCAAACCCTGTTTCTTTCCTACTTAAATAAATGAGTCTTTGGTCCAAGAAGCTGCTTTGCTCCAGACACATTTATCTCATTGTGGCCCTTTGACTGTCCTGTGAAAAAGCAGTTGTGGTAACTCTAATTTGATCTCAAAATTAGCTCTTCTTGAGCAAGATGGTGAGTTGTGAKGTGGTTGACTCCTGCAAGAACTGGCCCTTTTACTTCAATTTTCTCTCAGTCTTGTTTCTGGAGGAAGTACGATAGAACAATGATATCAGTTYATCACCAAACTCCATACTCACCTCCTGTGGCTGTGCTATTTCAAATTCCTACAAGCTCTTTGTGAAATGGCAAAAAGAGTATTACAGATCTATATGTTGCTCAGTTTTTCCACAGTTCAGCAAAATGAAGCTCTTTGCAGCTCATGTGTAACTGATGTGGACATAGACCTTTTAGGGAGAATCTGGGCAAGGCTCCAGGGTGAAGGCTCTGAACTGTGCTCCAGGGTGGACAGCTTTTATATCCTGTTTGTAGCTATGGAGAATAAGACAACAGAAACAAGCCTATTGATTGGCTAGTCAAGTATTTATTTGTGGTTTCAACATGCAAAACCAGTATAACGATTAWGGAAATTAGGAAAAATGTGGCACTGGAAAAAGTATTCATGCAGAATGAGTATTGTACTTGAACTATCCTGAACAATCATCAGTTACTCTGTCCCAATATTTATAGTTCATCATTACAACTGCCAAAACTGGCAACCACCAAGAYTGTTGTCTCAATTAAGGACAGTAAGCAGATTGTCCCATTTTTTTAATGAAAAAATCTAAAATGTAATACTTCACAGTTTAACATGTTTATTCATTTAAACGAGCTAAAAAATAGTGGTGTGACATCTGCTTGAGAGACACTGGTACCTAACATTTTGGCTGTCTCCCCACTAATTTGATTGTGATTAAGGGGGGATAAAAGGATGAGAAGAGGATTCTGTCAATTAAATGAATTGATGAACTGCAAAAAATGTTTTTCACTCTTGGAAATGTGTAGAAATATATCCAAAATAATGCATTACAGCAAAGTAAGAGGATGAAGTACTGCAAAATACCTCCATCAACTCTTTCGGGGAAAGATATTGTAAGCACTAGATCACAGACAATCTTTGCCAACTTATTCATCTCATGGCTTCCCTTCCCAAAGTGCAGGCATAATYCACTATAAAATCTTTCAGGATGTAGTTCCAACATCACATTTCTGCTGTCTTACTGATGTGCCGTATCATTATTTTCTTAGTCATAAGCACCACTAATTACTGAGCTACTGCAAGTTGGACTTGAAATGTGATCAAGACCTGTAGTATTTTTTTTTTGGCACTCTAACTTGCCTATTCTGCTTTTCAAGTCTAGTCCTCTACAGAGAATGGTCCTGAATCCATCTRACCTTCACCAAGTGGCTCAGTTGTGACTTACAGGCACTATACCTTATCAATTATTGCTCTACTGGGAGCTGCCAGCAACATTTTCTGTCTTGAAAGGGCTGCATTCAAAACTTGGCCCTAAGTCAGCAGGTAAGCCTGTTCCATAGTAGCCACTTYCATGGAAGCAGCATGAACAGTTTTGTAGGGTGCTCACTGTGCTTTCCTTTAGCAGGGCTGTTGAAAACCTATGTTTCCAAACACAACTTTTAGGTCAGCTGCTCTAGAGGACATCTAAGTGAACAGATGAGTCTGCTCATGTTGTAGCTATCTGCAGTTACATGTTACAGCACAATCTCCCAGTCTACATGCTGTCCCTGCTACAGCTGGTCTGATGCATGAMAGGAGCAATTTCGGATTCTGCATCACATGTCTATATAATATGCAAGTGAACTTTAACTGAAGTGTTCCTCAAGAAAAGTTTAAATGTATCTCTAGTGTCTATTAGGGAAATGCTTAATGTGCCTCTTAAGCTCTCAGTAAAATTAAAATATGGTTATGGACACCAGGCAGTAGAGCTGGAACCTTTGCTTGGCAATGGCCATTAGAAGCACTAGTAAACTACACTGAGGCTTCTGTCCTGAGATGATCTACATGCTGGCTCTGCTTTTGTAGGATAAAAGAGAAAAGGAAAACTGCCTAGGAAAAATTTACTGAGCAAAATCACTGCTTGAAGACTGTTTTGCCTTCCTAGCCAGAGACTCTTCCAGACAGGACATCTGCTCCCACCCACAGAACAAGGACTCAGTATAGGCATCTCCTCCACAAACTCTGCTAGAAATAAATTCAGTTTACTCCAGGAGCAGAGGGCAACAACACTACTGATATCTAACTTTTTCCTACAGGTGAATATCTTTGGAAAAAAACCATTAAGCCAGGTTTGCCATGTAAATGACTGGATCAGCAACCCTTCTTTGAAACAAGCACATAAGATTATTCATTTTATAACAAAAAAATCTTCTAAGACGGAAGTGATAGAGCTGCATGGATCAACAGCAGAAAGAGATTTGATCTATTAGCATTGGGTAGAATGCCAAAGGAAGTCCTCTTTATTGTCTTTTAAGTATTTATAGGCCACATTTAGTTTTAATATGAGCTTAGGGGCTAGAACTGACTAAAATTCAGATATTCTAAAAATCCAGATATTCTAAAACTGACATCAGTGCTCACTTTTGAGCACTGTGTGTTTAGACTGCTTTAATGTCTTTCAGATATATATATATAATTCAGTGTGTTCAACATTAATAAGAGAACCAAAATGAAAAAAAAAAATTAATAAAATAGACACTGAGCAACTCATACAAAGATAGATGGTCCAAAAGCCAAAAGGYATATTTCAATCTCATATATAATTAAGGGCAAAATAAGCCCCATGAATTATTGGAATTATTAGGAATTATTGTACTTATAAGAGAATAAGTGTATTTACTGCAATATTTACCATGTATTTCTATGTACACTGAACAGAAGTCTACCCAGTCTAAGCAAAAATAAATTTTCCTGTTACATGACAATATCCTTCCAGTACCTGAAGGGAGCCTCCAAGACAGATGGACTTTTACAAAAGCATGTAGCAACAGCACARGAGGGAATTGATTAATACTAAAAGAGAGTAGGTTTAGATTAGACATTAAGAAAAAATTCTTTATTCTGAGGGTGATAAGGCACTGGCACAGGTTGCCTAGAGAAGCTATGGATCATGCCTGGAGGTGTTCAATGCCAGGTTGGACAGGGCTTTGAGCAACCTGATCTAGTAGAAGGTGCCTCTGCCATGACAGGTGTTTTAAAACGATGATCTTTCAGGTCCCTTCTAACCCAAACCATTCAAAGATTTCATAATTCTATGACCTTTCATGCAAATGAAAAGGCCTAAMCCAAACAAAGCCAATAGACAAACTGCAAACTACAGGCAATATGGACTCATACACCACACATCAGGGAAGCTGACAGAATCACATATATATGCACYTCAGATTTGGTCTGATTCATAATTACGGAAAACGGAATATTCCTGTAGTAGGAACTTCATAAATTTGACAGTAAGAATTGCTTGCTTTTTAGTGCAAACAATTGAGAGAGCAGGTCACAAGATGASGTGCATGAAGGGAGTAATATGCATCTTTCTCAGACCACACATGACCCAGAGAGCTATCTGCTGACATTAAGAAAACAACCTTCCAGCATGTTAAAGAACATGAAAATTGCTAATGCAAAGTAACAGGAGAGGTCTGCATCTTCTGTGACATGTGGTTGGGTGCTGGTGAAGTGAACAGCATGTCACATTCAAGGAGACAGGCTGTGACATGCTTTTCCCTCCACTGAAAGTTGGGCCATGTGTCAGATAATGCTYCACCATAAATTCAACATGTTGCAAGGTGTCTGATCATGTGTGTGAGTAGCAGCGGAATATAAGTCACATGAATGCATAAATGTTAGGATTTTGTGCCTGTAACAGTCATAATTAGAAAATGAGACATATTTGCACATACATGTTTCTCATTCATATACTTTTGGAAGACTATTGTACTCTGAATTTCCAGAGGAGTTGTTTTGCACTACATAAAGTGAATGAGGACTATGACATACACGAAGTGGCTCCTTAGAGACTCATAATGTATATGGTCATAGTTACTGTATGTTTTAAAAATTAACTGTATTGATCCAAGTTTCTTAAGTGGTGATAATGGGACTGTGTCAATTTAAAAGAAATATATTTTCTATTTTAATATTTGCTGTGATTTGTATCCCTTTGACTTCAAAATCACTATAAGAAACCTTAGTCAGGCATCTCAGGAACAAGASAGTAAATACCTCAGTTGCAATTAAACCTAACATTCAGTTCTGAAACTGGTATCAAAGGCAAAGCCAAGCTAGTTCACTGACTTCWGAACTATGAAAACTTTTCTGGAAGTCAGTCTACCTAAACTTCCTAGCCACATTCAGCACCAATAACTCTATGTTTTTCTTGATATCAAATTGAACTGGAACTGAATTTCATTCAGAGAAAGACTGACCACATTTTTAAGCAGATCAAAACTTYACATCCACAAGCTCAGTTATATGCCAAACTCAAAGCAGAACAGGATAAAGCTAGAATTTTAAAGCTTCCTGCAGCTGCTCTGACACACCAAATTCTTCAAGTGGCTTGTGGCTATCAAATGGAAAAAAAATGCAAAAAGGTAGTGTGCAAGAACTGAAGGAAGCAATGGAGCCAAATTTACTAATTATTAGTACATCAGAAAAATAAGTGTATCTTATTACTTTGAGCCTCTCACATTAGTTTGATGATCAAAATGATTGTATAGCTGGAAACCAGTGTTTTTATACAACATGCCCCTAACAGGTAGAGCAAGTTGATACTAAAACCATCAGGAWGAGCATAATTAAAATACAATTTTGACTTCATATTAATAGTAGACCAATACACTAATTAAAATCAACATTGACTAAACTTTCTATTTACACTAGTTCAGACAGCACAGGAGGCAAAGAACTGTGTTTCAGAAGCATATGYGAATGTTAGAGCTTCTGTCATCCAGGTGCCATTTCTAACAGAACACATGTGTGCTGAACAGTTGGCAAAAGAATGAAAAAGATTACTGCAGATATATGGGCACACAGAATCTGGAATGACAGAAAATTAAGTCCATATCGGAGGTGACAGACTGCTTGTAAAAAGGTATTTTTTTCCTACAATTTCTTCCATCTTCATGCATACGCCTGTGTACACATGCACCAGAAAGATTAAAAGGGAGAGAAAGGATGAGGGGTTTTTTATATATATTAAACACAATGAAAAAAAGACTTTTTATTTGGTATTTCTGCTTTCTTATGGGAAAGGAAAAGGAAACTAATTTGGTTGTTAGGAAGCTTTGATTCCTAAATTTGGTCAAGGCAGACACTCCTGTGAAGTCAGCATCAATACCCATGATAATAATAGCACCTGTCTTTCGACATCAAAGTTCTCTGTCTGAGAAAAAAATAATGTAAACAATAAACTTCATGTATTATACTGTTGCTCCTGGCTTTGGTTTTAATCAAATACACTCAGCCAGGTATAAGTGTTCTTATTTTGGAGATCTGGAATGTGACTGACATATTGCAAAAYTTTCTTATGAATTTGGACTGCAAGAAATGGCATCGTTTACTGTCTCACAGTGAAGGGACTGTGTGTTCCTATGTAGTCTTGTTGAAGCTGAAGAAATCTTGATGATAGATTCATTGCATCTGCTAGTTTTCATCTGGATTCAGATCAAGGTCAACTTCATTGGAAACATTAAGATAAAAAAAAGCATAGAAAGCCAACAAAAATACCAGTATAGCTGCAAGGACAAGGGCAACTTCCTGTAGAAATAAAAGAAAGCAAAAATTAAAAACCTGTTAGAAATAACACCATATTTTCAGATTAATCAGGAATAAATATTATTTCCCTTCTATAATGCACATCAAAATAACACCAGACATATATAAATGTGTAAAGCATTGATATTTAACGAGTTTATTGTGGTTACCATTTCAAATGTTGTAGAAACCATCCACTTAATAAAGATTTTGGTGAGTCTGATACACTGTCAGAAAGAGGACATTTGGCTTAAAAGTCTTTAGTCTGACCTAGAGCTAAGAGCTTTATATCTTTTTATTATCCTATTCCTTCCTTTCTAAAGGAAAAGACAGAATTCACAAACCACAGTTTTGAACACAAATTTAAGTTATGAATTTACACTGTGAATTTTGATGTTTTCTAGCAATATGTTACTGCTTTTTGCCAACAAATTTGTAATTTTTTAATGAAGCAAACACAGTATGGTAGAAGTCAATGAAAATTGCTACCTCTACCTCCCAACCTCCTGGCATGCAGTACAATATGGAACTACAAAATCCTTCAGAATTGGATGAAACTTTTCTTTCTTCCGCTCTGCAATAAGGCAAAAAGCACAACAATTTGCACTTGCACTTGCCTCTTTTCACATAAAATATTGCAACTTGCTGCATCTTCCTTAATTAACATAAAAGAGACTTCCAAAGTATACATGATTTACAGCAGCTTTCAGAAGCAAAAAATGTTTTTGTACTACACAATATACTCATTACATGACTACCTATCATCTTAAGGCTGGACTCTGCTAACATATAATAAATTATAATATGATAATCCTCTTTAAAACACTATTTCTTTCAGAGTCACAGCATTTYACATTTCTAAGTTTCTATTTTTCTGTAAGGCACAGCACACTTCCTATGGTGTTGACTCTCATTTCACTARACAATGCAAGATGAAAGATAAATTTGAGAAAAATATTTATGGTACTTCAGCTCACAGAAAGTGTGATTCTACAGCTAATAACATCTACTGCTTCACTCCYTATCATCATGATGTATTTTTAAAATTGTGTACTTGAGATACTCCAAAGGAACAGATCAGTTTGTACCTCCAAACCCYGCTTTCCCTCAAAAGAAAGAAGCAAAACTTCCCCTCCAATTCTCAGCTTTACCTTAAGCTATAAAACAACTMCATCAGAACAATCACGATGTACATTTAAAAGGAGAGAAGTGAAAAAGTTCAGTAATTTTGTAAGAATTGATCTGAGTTGGTACAGAAGATGTCATATCAAACCTACTCTGCCAGTGGGACTGAAAGAAGATGCCTACACTGCACTGAGAYAATATGACACCCTTTACTGTCCAAGGACAGAATCTGGACCTCTTTGATGTAAGATTTATTGTGTCCTCTAAGAGAGGCCAGGTGAATTCTATCCCAAAATGACCATATTCCCCTTAGACTAGAAGGGAGTGCAGATGGTGTCTCTGGGGTGCACTGGAGAATTAATCCACCAGCTCTAGGCTGGTGGTGGCTTTCTGACCAGCATTGTGTGTCCACTGACATGAAGGAGTTAAAATTGTGCATTTCATTTTTTAAAGTCTGGCCCATAATCTGGCATTCTTCTATAGAACAGCATTTCATTTGCATTTACATGAATGCATTATATGGTTTATCAGAATGTTGGATCAATAATTCAACATATGCCATCTAATAAATTTTGAAATACTTCTGCCTAGTTGGCGTATGTTCTATAGGAACATATTCYTTATTCTACAGAAACCTTTGCTTTATATTTTACATGGATGATTAATTGAGACGTACTTTAAATTTGTTTTACCACATTAAAATTGCTCCTGCAAATTTGCTGAGGCTGTTGGCTACAGATTTCAACTTCATTTTTCTCTTAGAATTGTATCATTCTCCGAACTTCATCCTCCTGATTTCACATGATTTGATTTAAAAAAAAAAGTACATYTAATTCACTAATATATTAAAGGAAAGTGATTTTTGCTTTGTTGCAGTTGCAACACGTCAGTATCTCACAAAAGGGCATGGCAGCATCAGACAGGTTTCATTTATTTCCTTGTATCCACAGCTGTGCTCCCAGACCCATCTGGCCACACAGCTACTAATCTTAAGAGGATGTAATAAACAAGTGACATACAACTGCAGGCTCCATCTGCTCAGGAGAGTGGACAACAAAACCGTACAATGCAGGCACCATTCACAYTTGACACAGAGAGCAAATTCATTCCAGTATTAAAAAGTTTTTTCCCTTGTTTGKATGCCACACTTCCCACACTTTCTGCTTTACAATAGGTTTACCTTTCCTCTCCCTTCTCCCCTGTCTCCCTTATGAAATGCTATGGTGGCAACAGCAAACTTTTGAGGAGCCTTTGCATTRAAGATTTGTTTCAAAGGAAGTGGAATTGGAAAAATCTTGAGTTTTATTCTTAGGCTGCCCAGTAACTGTTTGACAGAAGCAGTTCCTTAATTCCTCRGCCTAAGTTACAATGAATAACACTGTGATAACAATACTACTTTCCTTGCACAGCCATTAGGAACTGGGTGGCTGGACCAGTATTTATTATTCCTGGGAATGAAAAGTCATATTGAAACTTCAGGTCTAAAAATTATGCAAGAACCTTAATTTTGAGTTACTGAAAAAGGAASAGTAACAAAAATCTAAAATAAATGGCCTTACAAAGGACATCTGGCTCTCAGCTAGGGATATGCAGTCTCTTAAGAACTGCATCCAGTTTATGAACTTTTATAAACATAAATTTTGCAAGGTAAATAGCAAATGAGATGCTATACCACTATGTTGTATTTGCAACAACAATATATATTGTCATTTTAATTTGTTTTATACTTTTCAGGCTTTGCTATTTGTATTTTAAGTCATGCATAGAAATGAAATGTTAAAATACTCCCTGCTTGACATATATAGCTCCCTTTCTCTWGCACTTTATGGATCATCCCCATCATCCTCTGCAAAATCCATTTACTCAGAGGATTTCACCATGAATAATTAAAGAATACAGAAAARGTCCTATAGAAATAAACTTAAAATGATCAGAGGGTTTTTTCTTTTATATCATGGTAGAGAACACTAGGAAATAACATCCCTACTCTCAAATCCCAAAGTACAGTCAAAGAAGCCTTTAAAAWGGAACAGAATTTTCTATTTTATTCTCTTGCACTTAGAATAATGTATGTAGAACCCTACTGATTTCAGTTTGGTTAAGTTTTTCAAAAACTTTTCCTAAAGGAAATGCAAACCATTACAGCACAACATAGATTTAATTCTCCTATCATTTTTTTTTTCAGTTTTATATCTCTCATGCCAAAGTACTTGGAATATGTCCTCAAATTCACCCTGATGCAACAAGTRGAAGAGCTGGGAACTAAACAAGATTAATCAGGAGATGGGATGAGGAAAAAATGTTGGCTATGATAACACAAATCTGGACATTACATATGGCAGCATCACATCTTACACATACAGAGAAGTATCATACTTCCAGGAAATTCCAGGGGTTTTTTACATATTTTTTAATTGTCCTTCAAAGAGAATCACAAATTTTTTTATCTGAAACCTGCTTAAAACTAAGTGAAAGAGTACCACAAATTGCTCTATTTGAAATGCTAAACTATCCCTACTCTTTCTGAAAAAAAATGAAGGGAAAATCATGCCATTGAAGGATATCATTAAAAATAAAACAAATACATATGAACTTGACAATATTTTTTTTATCTCATATAGTTTTTAACGGAAAACTTTAGCTGGACACTCACTAAGACCCTTTTTTAGAGTTTCAACAAAATCATATTTAAAAATGAATGTTTACTTCCTTAATGYAGGACATTCTACAGTCAACAGAAGGCAGCAAAAGTAATCTATGAACTTTTATCCACACTTTTTATGTTCTAATTTTTTATTGTAAAAATTTCAGATGGAAGAAATATCATTGTCTTCAATAATGAGAACAAGGTACTATTACAGAGTAATCAAAACCACCTCACTACATGCCTACAAAGCAAATGGATTCATTTTAATACAGCTAAACGCAAAGTAATATATGCARGTATCAAACATGCAGCCAGTACTTAMAAAATGGAGTACTCTTCCTTGAAARACTATGATTCTAAGGAGGTCTTTAGATTTCAGGGGYAACTACTCCCTCAGTGTGATCTCTGGATGTACAAAGGCGGAGGGGTTTGCAGTACAGAGATGACTGCTATTTATTTTACCATAGAGAATAATGAGAGGTAGTTTGGTTACAGCATATAATTATATACAACTGTATTTAAATAAGGCATTTCACAGTGTGGGGTCCTTCTCTCCTGTTTATAAGAACCTTTCAAGGCCCAGCTGCACTTAGATAAGCTCAGCCTTGAACTAAGATACCATTTTCTAGGAGCAAGAATGATTAAACATTCTTCAGGAAAATATGGACTTCCATAGCTGTGAGTCTTTTATCATCTGACATCTCTCAAAAAAGTACATTTTTATTCAGCAATTGGAAAAAATACTTCAACTTGGGCTTGAGTGAAAAGGAGGTCCTGGCTGCCAGCCTTGGAGTCGGCAAAGTCAGCCCTCTCAGCTGCTCCTCTCCTTCAGGACCCTAGGAAAACTCTGATTACTTCCATGGTCAGCGCTATATTCTGAACCCCTGAAGCATCAGGTTATGAAAAGTAATAGCACCCTATTCTTCTTCAGACTTCTCTATATAGCATCGAATGTTGGAATTTTCCTCCAAGTGTATTGTTTCATTTCTGAGATTTGAAGTTTTGCTGTTGTTGATTATTCTTTGAAGTGTTATAGACTGGTCCTAAGTAGAGACACAAGCAGACTTGAGAAAGATGGGATACTGTTCCAAGATACTACAGAAAATCCTCCTAAGATCTTGCTTGGTGCATCATGGTCACATGCTCAAACCATCATGATTATGATATTTTTGTGCTCAGGTCAGGCAAAAGGCTGATTTTGTTCTCTTGGTACATGTTTGTCTCCCCTCTCTTTCATTTCAAGGTCAGGGATCAAAGCCTGACTACTGGGATCACTGGGAATGTCACACTTCATTTACTGGTGGCACATGAAGCTGCTCTACACTTTGTGAAGCACATAAGTTGGTTTGAAGACCCAGTATTTTGGCCATTACAAAGTGCTTGGACTTTGTAGAAAGTATTTGGATGAAATTTTATGATCTGTAACATATAGGAGTGCAAATTACATGATCTAATAGTCCCTTGTGGTCTTAATTTCTGCAAAGCTATGAAACTGTATCTTGGCAAATGCCTTTCACTAACTTAGCAGATTATGAACAGCATGAAATTGGAGAATATCCTTTGCCAAAATACACTAGGAATGTCTTGTTATCTATTCATATCTTGCTCCAGATGAGATAAACTCTCCATAGTGAGGTAGCTAACTACACAATAGATTAAGCAGATATGCAAAAGAATGACAGACAGTATGCTCTCACTTTGTTTAGGAAACAYTTTTTCCTTAGCTGAATCAATGCTCTATGTTGCTAACAATTCTCTGTGGAGTGGTATTCTGCAGTCAATTATCTCTTTGCAAATACTTTGCAAATTCTACTGTTCAGATTTATTTGCAGATACTACTGCCTACCTCTCGAGGAGACAGAAAACTTCATCAGCTGTCCCACAGACACGCTCTTGCAGCCTATGAAAAAAATCTCTCCCCAAGAACTCCCATTACTTTTGGCTTCTGCATACCAGCTCCAGCTATCTGGGGGCCAAGCTTCCGCACTTCTCAAACCATTTTCTGCTTGTCACCTTCCTGCTGACACCTCTTCCTCATCCACTGAGAACAGTTAGTACCGATGGTGCAAAGGCCTTCCTGGACTTCCCCTAGCATGAGCCCCATGTTGGGGGACAACAAAATGATACAGAGAAAGTTCAGAGCCTCCCTTTTTGGTACTGCTACAAAGAATTTTGTCTTATCCAAACACCAGGAGACATGCAGCATTTCTGCTTTCTCTTAGAGTTGTTTCTTGAGACAGGGGTCCAGTATTTCCAAGACACACAATGTATTTTGGCACTGTCTACATTAGTGTCACATATACAAACAGAGCCAGTACAATAGCTCTTCTGCAATATTTAATCTTTAAACATGTTTAAAGAGCAAATATTACACACCAAGTACTAGCATGGTCACCCTGCTTGAACTAACTTTTGATAGTTATTAATGCTCAGCTGTTTTCTCTGACATTATCAACATAGATAAAAATCCCTCATTGGGGAAATTAAAAAGTACTAAATGCCAGTGACTGAAAGAAACTTTGTTACTTTAAACCTTGCATTAAAATGACAAGGCAATCAAAGTTTGACAAGACAAGCTAATTAGTATGCCAGCGATGAAATGTGGAGAATCTCCAGGGGATTGGTACTGAAAAGTTTTATGTCATTTATGGGGCTTTTTTAAGCTAATGTTGTCAGCTCTCATGGTGAAATACACAACAGTTGGATTTCATTATCCTCATAGAAATTAAGGACTAAAATCCCTTCACTATTTTCCAGTCCTCTTTTTTTATGCCCTAAACACTACACCAGGTCTTATTTACAGCCAAGCATATAAGTTCTTCAGGACAATTGTGCAAAACAGCTCTAGTTATCAATGATACAAAAAAKCCTATTTTTTGAAGTAGCTCTATGGTGCTTATTGTGTTAAGTATTTCACAGGAATACAAAAATATTCCCCTTTCCCAAAGAGTTTATCCTTTTACTTTTATCCTTCCACTACAATATTTTTATTAACTTCAACTTAGATTTTTACAGTAAGAGGTTAATTTATTTTGAAATGCTTTATGCTGCATCATGTATTGAATAGATACCTATATAAACAAACAAAATACATTCCAAATACATGTATGTGTCTGGTTTCTTCTCAAAGATTTACAAGAACTTTGGCCTTTTCTATTTAAAGTGCCTACTTATTATATTACATTGTAGTTACGTCACTTTTTTTTCTCTCAACAAAGACTGAAGTTGATCAACTGTGACAGCACAGAATTAGGGCCTACATAATAAAAAAAGACTAAAATCCCAGCCTTTGGAAGGTGAATCATACTGCTTATTACCATTACTCATCACAAGCAAAAGAAGGAGATATTAAAGACAGAGGGGAGTAGAAATGTGTTTCTGCTTGGGGTGGCAGGCAAATCCCCTCCTGACCTACCTCACCTCTCCAGCTTCCCTTAAACAACAGGTATGAGGCCCTGCAATCTGAGGACCAGGGAAATGAGAATGGGGACAAGGTCCATAYAGGTTGAAGGGGTTGTCTAGGGCAGGGCAACCTACCCTTCACATCAAAACTTACTCAGTCAGGAAAAAAAGAAGGGTAGTAGTCATTGGTGACCCCCTTTTGAGTGAATGGAGGGCCTGATATGCCAACTGCACCCAGCCCATAGGGAGGTGTGTTGCCTCCCTGGGGTCCACGTAATGGAAATCACCAAGAAACTTCCCAGCTTGGCGTTGCCCACTGACTATTGCCCACTAGTTTTCCAGGTGGGCACAAAGTTCCAACAAGGCTATGGGTGATCAAGAGGGACCTCAGGGCCTTGGGAAAACTGGTCAAGGGATCTGGAGCGCAAATTGTGTTCTCTTCTGCCCTGTCAGTTGCTGTCATATCAAACAGGAGCTGTCAAGAAATTCTTATTTTAAAAATTATCCAGAAAATAACAGGACTATTTATGATAGATGTGGAGGCTGAATGCAAAAAGATGGCAYTTGGACAGCTGGAGGATCTTAACATTGGACTGAGCAAAACAAGCCCTGCCCAAGAGAGGGGTATCAATTATGGGGCTTCATAACTAAGCAGTCTCTCCAGGGGTAGGGAAAGCGATTTCCCTGCGGATAGTCCAGGACCATCTACTGCCCACAGAGAAGCTCTGCTGCTGGAGAAACTAAACAGGGTGAAGAGCTGTCACCRCGAGATGGGAAGAGGTGCACCTTTACCCCAAGATGTTAAACATGCCCTTCTTCTGTGCTGGGCACTGCAGGGTCTGTCAGCAGAAGTGCAGAGTTTATTCTACACAGGTASCCTGAGGTCTGGTAGAAGTGTGGTAACATTTAGTAAGCCTGAGGTTGGCATTAAGCAGGCTCAGTGAGATGGATGCAATCAAAGGCCCTGCTTTCCTTCCCCTACAAGCAAATCCCTAAAGGGAAAGGTGCCCAATTTACCTTCCTTTTAGCTTTCAGCTCTGTCAGCTTTTCTCAGCAATTTGGAAGCAAAGCAAATTACTGTGATCTATTTGGGGATGATCCAGTTATATTTTAAGGTCCCAAAGCAGAAAAAAATATTACAGCTGGAAGAAGATATTTTAACGATTTTTTTTTTTTTTTAGGCAGAGGCAGAATTGTAAACCTGAGACATCACACAGAGTGACTAGCAGAACCCCAGAAACCCGCTCATGACCTGGAGAGTACATATAGGCCTTGATGSCAAAAGTCCTTTATTCACTAATACTCAATTCTTCACTACATATGATTACACATATGCTTTCCCATTCTCCCTTATTTTTAGAAAGAATTACTTAAGAAAATAAGGTTTTGAAGKATCAAATTGCATATTTTTCTCACTTGTGAAAGACATGCAAAACACTTGTACATTTTAAAAGAATTAGGCTGTACACTAAGTCTCCAAGTAGAACATCACTTTTAAAAGGTCACGTCATTGAAACTAAAATGAAAAGAAAAAGTGAAATTTAATAAGAAAGGAAGGAAAAGGAACTCAAAAGGTTAATAATCTATCCTTTAAACAAAAAAGGCAATCTACTTTTTCTCATTAAAACCTGACACACAGCACTAACTGAGGAGATTATGTTGTGAAAACATACTGCATCGCACGGTAATGCTTGATCGAGATCAGCAATCAGGAGCAAAAAGAAAGCACTGTTTCGTGATTATAATAGCAAATTCTGGAAGACAACCAAATACATCATCTGGCAGCCTAACAGCTGTTACAGCTTGGTAGTAATACCTTGGCATTTGCTATAAGCTATAACTTGAAAAAATTGATTTCTCATCTGCCAGAAACAAGAAAATGTTCTCCTTTTAACATTTCTGAAGTTTCTTTCACTAGAATACCCAAGCAATTGATCCACTTTTTTATTTTGATCAGGTTTTAAAYTTGCTGCTAAGTTGACATTGTATCAGTTAGACTAAAAAAATAAGTTTGAGGGAAAAATACTGGAGGSAACATAAACAATGTGTGCTCAGATAGATCCTATTTTGATGACACACTGGGTAGTAGATAACAGAAAATATTTCTAATTGTCCTYCTTGATCATATTCACAGCTGTGATCAAAAGTAATTATTATATTTCATACCTGCCTGAAAAGGGGACATTTTCAAAATATGGTACCTTTCCATACGTTTTGCTGTTAATTAAGCCTTCTTTCTCCAAGTCATATGCAATACACAAAGATGCAGACTGAGGCAATAATGCTGAGAATTAGCAATATTAAACAAATCCAGTCTTTAAATTACTACTGGGTATAGGATCAGAAGAGGAACACGGGAGATATTTATTGCAATGTGTCTASCTATATGAAATAGTTAAAGAACTTGTTCTGTGTGTAGACAGGTTCCCCAAACCCATCAATTTTCTAAGCATACAGTACTTTAAACCTTAAAGTAAGCATGCATCRTAACAAGGACATAGACTATGTAAAATCTTTCAGCATTCAAATATTCAAGTTATTTTAGGGTTAAGTTAAAGCAGTTCATCATAAATATTTTAGATTCTAGCATTCTACTTAGATTTTGAAGTGCCATAAACAATATCTCTCAGAAATCAATATTCACACAGTACATCTATAGGGAAAAGAAACAACATAAACACAAAGGTGGTTTGAGCTGTCAGAGAGATCTCTACCTTTACGCCTAGTGCAGATTTCTTGGCCTCTGCTTTTAATCTTGTAGCTCTTAACATAGGCCTGGTTTTCTTATAATCTTGTTTCCCTAGAGGAAAAAAGCATATTTAATGAAAACAACGCAAAAAGAATATAAAGCATGTGAGCATTTATTTTAGTTGAAAAGTCAGATTTAACAGTAAAAAAATCCCACARTCCAGCATTTTAAAAAAGGGCTACTCTGTAACACAGGGATCTGCRTTACAACCACCCTTAACACAGACAGTGATAGCAACAGGAGCCAACAAATCAGTGTAGAACCTATTACCCCAGAGTGACATCAAAGTACCTGTATGGATAGATATCCACAATGCTTAATAAATTGCTTAACAAGAATCAGACAGCAAATAAGTAGATTAAAGGTGGATGATGTCTTTTCCTTTTTTTGAAATCAAAACAAAAATTTTCATTAGAATTTTTCYTGGCTAGTCATCTCTAATGCATATATAAATGTGCAATATAGGACATTCTGGTGAATGTAAATGTTCRGAATCCTGAACGGGAAGATTATTAACAGATATCAGAATTTACAGATATAGAGATCAGTYCAAGTAAATGCTTATAAAACCATTGTAGAAACACGTTACGCAAAATCTTCTAGATGAACTTTTTACAAATTACAGGGACTATCTCTTGCAGCCACAAAGATTGCAGGACTTGATTATTGTGAGTCTATATGAACTGAGTTCAGAGGAGGACATGTAAGTATTTAAAAATGGTGAAATGGTATAAATCATTTATCTCAGTAACAAAGCATAAAACACGTGATATCTCTCAGGGATATTTCTGCTGTCTGAAAGGCCTGTAAGTGTTATACTATCCACTATTAACCATAGCTTCTTTAAGTTAACAGAAGTCAAGGTACAGATACAGTCACAAAAGGAGAAGGAAAAGAGGAATCTATAAAGAAAYTGAGAGGGATAGAACCTCAGTACAYCTGCTTTGGCTTTTTAAAAAGTCSTTTTCATTTTTCCCCTCCTAATGCATACAAACCTTTTTTGTTCTTTCTGCCTAATTGCAAAGCTGAGCTACAATGATTACAGCAGCATTTTGCCTTTTTCAAATTACTAAGTTTACCTATTCRTACATTWGCTTTCATTACTATTACAGTCAGAKAATTTAAGCTTTCCTCTATAACTTTGTCCAGTGGTTTTGTATACAAAAATCCTATTTTCCCAAGCAGATGCGATTTTATATTCATAATCAATAATGCATACTTCTAATTTTAGGACTACTTTCAAAACTGACATATTGTAGTGTACTGATGAAATTCTGAAACATGAATTGGAAAGGTCTTCTCCAGTGTTATACTGGATTCATGAAAACACTTCTGATTTTGTCTACTCTTTGTACCACCCTGCTCATACTCAATACAGAGATCGCCTGTGTAGCACACTGTGAATGCTGAACTCGCATTACAAATTTGCTTTCATTATATAATCTCTCCTCAGTCCTATGGATTATATATTGTGAGGGTTTCCATGCTATTCTTTGGTCAGATATTATTCATAAAAGACTTGAAATAACTTAAAAATACTCAATGACAAATAAAAAAAATGACTGAAACCATATGTATTAAGAACAACAAAAAAAAAGCAGCATATATCCAAGGAAACTTGAAGGATGAAGAAAGGATGACAGAAAGATGATTTATGTCAGGTGCTCCAATATATTCATCCAGTCAATACATCTTATTAGCTGGACTGGACCACCGCAGAATTATTATTCAGAAGTGAGTAATATCTGATAACAGGATGCATCAGGAGYGCAATAATTTTTTTGAACAGTTAGGGAAAGAATTGCAGAATCCACAAAGGTCAAGTCATGAGATGAAGCCAGCCACAGAGAGAGAATGTGTTCCTTCTCCCTAAAGTCCCACAGTCATACTTTTACCATGAAATAGTTAAAAGATCTTTCAGAATTTCTATTACAAGTGGCAGGAGTTTATTACTCATAAAAATACACTCCGGTCTGAAATTTGGCATAGATACACCCCAGCCTTGAATTTTTTTGTTTGTTTGTTGGGAGCCAACTTTCCTAAGTGATGCAGCTGTTCTTACTTACTTGTGAACAAACGATAGAAATTTATCAATCTGAAATATTTTAAGCATGTGAAAAATATCTTCGTTTAGAACTGCGTAAGTGACAAGGGCTAAGTTCAGTCTCTGTTCTCATAATTCAGGCTTGCTGCTCTTCAATCGGGGGTAAATGAAATGAGACAGTCAAAGATTTCCCTTCCAGTGATTCAACAGCACAAGATAATGAAAACTAGAAAACCTGGTARCATCCATTAGGCATGGGACACAAGCCAGCTTGCAAAACCCACCTCCCCTTCCTCCCATTGCCCATTCTGTCTCCTGTTCTCCACTGCTCAAGTGTGAGGGTGACACGGACAGGGGTGAACATTGCATAGAGGACCCAGTCTATTAAATACATCTATAGGCAGGACCATGTTTATTAATCCAAATGAGAAAGCTTATTGGYGCTCTTTCCCTTGGTTTCAGGCACCCCCCTACTCTTTACTCCAGTATCATGGCTACAGCTAATAGTGGATTCTACTTATCTAGAGAACAGTTCCAGATTTATATTAAGTYTGATATGAACAACTAACCCTCCTATAACAAAAAGGCTATTTCAATGATGACTSTAGAGCTGGTAGTTGTCCAAATCCATGCACCTGCCATTAATTTACCACTTTCCTTCCTAAATGTAATAGCCAAAAGGAAAAAAATAATATGGTAGGGAAATAGTCGGAGTCCACCAAGTGCAAAAGTTTAAAAAGGGCATCTGTGGACTTCTTTGTAATGAAAACCAGATTCAGCAATTGTACTAAAAGACTCTTAAAACATGTGAACTTTCTGAGGCCTCGGGAAAGACATCTGCACTACAGGACTATAAAGAACAACGAAATGCAAAGCTCCTGCCACGTGAACACTGATCATTACCACCTGGAAAACAAGCAGAAAAAAAGAATACAGGCTCCCTACAGCCTCCCTTCTTTTGGGCTTGCAAATTCAAACAGTTGGGGTAAGTATATTCACACTCTCAAAGTCTTTTAGTTTTATCTCACCCTGCAAGCTTTCTTGTACATTTATCTGTCAGAGTCATCAGCTTAAGCTATTTCTTCTTCTCAGGAAGTGATCATCAAAGCCAGTTGAGACAAACTCATCAGACAAAACCCCATTTGTCTGCTTTACCAATGCCTATTTGAGACACTACTTTTTTCAGAGGGAATATATGAAGGGAAGAAGAAGMCAAAAAGATAGTACTGGAAAATTTCCAGACCAAGTCTTACTTTTCATATTACTTGAACAAAATCCTTTCCTTTTTGACTCATTGTAATTTCTCCCAAACTTTAAACTCYAGTCCTTTTTTCAGGTCCATCACTTCCTTTCTATTTTTAAGGCCAAAGAAGTACTCCATGACAAGGCAACTTTTCTTACTGACTACAGCTCTCTGCTTGTCCTGCTTTCCGACAGACCCTCCAAAGATCATCCATCTTCCCATTCAGTGCTTGAAGTAGCCTTCACCTTTTGGAAACTCTACAGAGCTTGCCTTGCACCTTGTCCCTTCTTTCCATCCTTGTACAGTTTTTTTTCACTCCTTTGGTGGCAAAGTGACCTCACTGTTACCTGAATGGAGTTGTGCCCTGTTTACAGATCCTGCTTGGGAAACCTTCCCCAGGCAGAAATGAAGACTGTTCTACTAGCTGCAGGATTAGAAAAGGGTGAAAATAAGGGTGAAATACAGGGAGCTTTTTAGCTACTAAAATAGGTCTATTGTGAAAAATTACAAAGGGTGCCTCRTTCAGAATGGATAATAGGGATTAATACAGTATGTAAAATGAGTTTGTTTCTCTTCATGTAACTAGGAATAAAAATCTATGGATGTTGCAAGGATTTTTTTTTATTTAACTCTGCTTACATGGGAAATTGAGATCCCATACATCTTCTATTCAGTAATTTTAATAATGTATTAGAGATGGCCTGATCTTGTAGATTCAGTACTCTTTAACTAAACCTTCAATGACATGATGATGAATGCAAAACTTAACTTAAATTATATGTATGAGCTAGACAAGTTTATTAAGTTCCAGGGTAATTTTTTTTTAGTCTACAGAAATACTGTGACATTGCCAGGTAGTATGCACAACACTGTACTTCTGCATACATACCAAGCTGCTTTATATATGTAACTGAGAATGCAGTACATTGTGCACTGTATTTAAGAAAACTGACTATGTTTAAGATTGTGTTTAAAGATGCTGCTGTTTAAGACATAACCTGAAAAAATCTATAGAATAACTTTTTGAGGAAAAAAAAAATTGTATTTCCAACCCTTCTAGATATTTACTCTTTCATTCTAACAATAACTCATTACTGGATTTGAATAACAGACTAAAGACTGCCTCTCTGCTTTTCAATTCATCAGGCTTAAGCAGAAACAGGACTGCATCTTTGGCCTTTGTTGATGCTGCTGTCCAAGCTTATTATCATATGAATATCTAGTTATTGTTTTATAAATGTTCACATTTCAGGAGCTCTTTTCTTTCTTTTCTCTCAGCAGACTTTACAATATCCACCTTCATTATCATCATGTGGCAGCATTGCTCTTCGCCTGCATTTGCTACTTTAAAAATTAATGCACTGCTATTTTCTGAATACTGTACTGCGTAAGCTGCTTATGAGTACATTATGCTATCAAGCAAGCACATGCAGAAAAGCTTCCTAAACTGTTATTCTTTCAATGAAAATACAGCTGGTTCTGCTTCAAAGGCACTTCTTTTCACCTGCAAATGGACTTGCTTCTACACTTATTCCTCAATTCATTGTCTTTTATTTGTGTCTGCAAATCTTTAATTGCCTTTAATTAGAAAGAAGTAAATTCAGTGCTTTAATCTTGCAAATACATTCAATCATAATTCTGTCTGGGATGAATACCAAGTTCTATTCACTGACTGATCTTTATAACAAAGGTATATAAATTTATTGTCCATTTATATAAACCACACCAATTAAGCAACAATGGAAAACCAAATAGATAAGAGTC